CCCTAGCTCCAGTTACTGGGAAGGGAAGGAAATGCTAGAGTCCATTCTATGTCTTAGGGCCTGAATGAATTTTGTTCTGTCTTGAGACCCAAAAAAATTTCACTCAAAATCTGGGTGGGTCCTAGGGTTACCAACACTACATATATATATATCTATATCTATATCTATATCGATATAGATATAGATATATATAGAGAGAGATAGAGAGTATATAATATTATAATAATATATATTGTGTTGGCAACCCTGGGACCCATGCAGTTTTTTAGTGAACCATTTTTTCGGGTCACAATAGAATATAATTCACTCAGTCCCTGTTAGGTAGATTAGACTCTATCCCTTCCTCGTCAATGGCTTGTAGTCACTTGCCAATATTCTGCAAAATAATTTGGAGGTGTGTTGCATATGATCAACAATTAATTGGTTTTGCCTGTATTGGTCTTCTTTCATTTCTTGTTCCAGCAGGTAGAAATATAGTATGTTTATGAGAATTCAGTTCTGAAACTGTGGCATTAGAGAGGTCAAGTCCCAGTCCAGAAAACTGAGTATGAATGCACAAAATCTCAAATGTTAGTAAAATCAGTAAGTTTTCACTGGTTTGCCAGAAGTGGGAGAAGCCATACACATTTCTATGGCTTCTTACATCACAATGCAAAGTAACAAACTCTACCACACGGACTCTACACCCCATGACATTGGTTAGAAAGGTGAAATAGATTAAATCAAAAAGGTTTAGATGGGTTTAAGTTCTCTTTAAATGTATGTGAGTGCATTTCCATTGTATATGAGCATGTCTCAATAAGAGTGTATCTCCACTGATTTAATAAAGTTCCAATTGTTTACACCAGCAGAGATTTGCCCAAAGAGACTTTTTTTCTTCACTAACTATGCTTTGTACAATTCTACAAGACCAAAACCACCAGCATGTGGCTTGATTGATATGATACACAACTGTACCACCTCCTAATTCTCTAGAATATAAGAATTTATTAAAACGTAATCTCTGTTACAATTGGTAAGATAGTTTCAAAGCACTGATCATGATTTTAATTGTTCAGTGATAACTGTCCCATTTTGACCAATGATAATATTTTAAACAACAATGTCAAATGGCAGCATATGAGATGGGAGAAGGAGGATACTTTTATGCAAATTTGCACAATATACTGGGTATGACAACTTACTGAGACACTGCCAGTATTAAATTTAAAAGTGCACCAAAACATTTTCCAGAAACAAAAAAGAACCAAGACTGTAACATTTCTGCTACCTCAAAACTGTGCTTTTTAATTAAAAAAAAATGAAGTCAAATGAGATATGGCTATAGGAAATCTAGAAGATGTATATACTTCATCTTTATATCTATAGCAAGCAGCAAGGCAGGGGTGAAGGGACAAGGAAGAAGCTCCTTAATGAATTAGAGAGAGAAGCGTTAGGGTTCATGCTGTTGCCTTTATTTTCTAATATGACTCCTCATGCAATGGTAAAATAAAGTGACTCTTTTCATGATTCTGTATTGTTGTCACATGCTACTTGTTGCTTCTTAATAGGGCAGTTATTCTTGATAAAAGTTATCACGAATAAAGCTTTCAGTTTCATTTCAAAGTGAAGACACTAATAGAACACCATCTAGTCTTTCTCACGCAGCTAACCCTAAGTGCAACCTCAGAAAGCCAAGATTCAGTACCCACCATCAAACTGGAGATTTTTATGTTTACTGGGGTTTTTTAATGGACTTCTCAGAGCATTAGTACATTATAACTAATAAATCTCAAATCTCTAAATTTAAGTGGAGAGATGGGAATAGCTATTTTTTGAATAAAGACAGTTGAGCGGATTACATACACAAACTCAAGAATGCCTCCTTATATCTTTATACCTTAAGGCTGGGGTGTCCAACTCAAATGAGTTGACCAGATCCAGACTGTGGGACATATTGTAGAACACATCTGGACCATTTCTGAGGCCAGACAAGCCAACTCTGTACCCAGAATTCACCCTGTACAAAGAGTTCATACAGGACTTCTTGACCCAGTTGCCAGAGCTGCTGTGTTGGCACCAGCAACCAAAGGGCACATCCAGAGGAGCATGCATATGCAGTTTGTGGCACCACAAACCCATCTGCAGTGCTGCAAACCACACATGCTGCACATGTGGGGTGGGGTTTTTTGACACTGGGATCTCTGGGTGTCAAAAAA